CAAATCATCGGTGAGCGAAACCGCGGCAGCTACAACCACTGTACGGCGAGTAAGCGGTTACTACAGCTGACAATGATGATGACGATGAACATCGAAGTTAACCGTTGAATAGTGAGTGGTACCCACTTGGAAACCTTGAAGGAGTGGATAGTCTGACCTCGTTTCAAATGGTTTTGCTTTGTTTCTCCGGATGATCTGACGTACCGGGATTCAGCATTAATTATGATTATTTCACAACTCGCGATGATAGCACAGAACCACGGTTTGCATCAGACCCGTTGTCAGCAGACGCTTGGAATTCACCTGAATTTTTGTAGCAGTCCATTATTCTTTTCGACAGCTTCCATGACATTCCCACAGTCTTAGACGGTCTTAGATATAAACCAACTATCATCTCACTAGCACAACTGTATTAAAAGATTTACCACTGAAACAAACACGATTTACGCCAAGGACATTTTGGTGGTTTTCAAAGTCAAGCATTCTGTCAGGTCCCACGGTCCACCCTTGTTCTGTAAAAGGACATTGGGCGGAAATCGCCGCTCAATGAATGGGTGTTTTTGGTGGTAGCGTTTTGACACAAAGGAAAACTTCATCAATTTTTTATTGTTGGTAGATCTGGTGTGACCAATTAGTTTGAGGATTGTGGAACAACGAATACCTAACGTCGGTACTCTGAGGAAAAAGTACACAACGGTTCAACAGAAACACTTCGGGAGCTTTAGTGTCAATGATTTGTTTATTTTTGGGGGAATTTTATCACTCTCAGTTGAGGGAACGCCACAATTCAATCGTTCACTGTACACGGGCCAAGTGCTCTTCCTTGTGTTTATCAATGCAAGTGTTTCGTATTTGACTTCGTCAAACAAATAAACAGAACAAAAAGCGTGAAAATACATACCCATCAATTTGCGGACTGCGTTTTCCAGGTAGATTGATAGGAAGACCAGCACACAAAATGACATCTGAGCGTAGGACAGAAGACATGTATGTCTCAGCGCATAACCAAACATTCAGCGAGTACCTGTCTCTCTATTTGTCCATGGATTCCATGGTTGTTATCTGCAGCGCACGGCGAACACCAGGTGACTTACTTGAAACGCGACAGCGAACGAATGTGGACCGATGCCAGCAGGGTTCCAGTCATCAGCTATTTCAAGATGATTGACGGAACATGTAAATTTCCTGAAAAATTGCTGATCTTGCTTTGCTGCCCTTCTTAAAATTGTGTTTATCTGCTCTGCACTGATTCGCTAGTGTTATGGTGTTTTTATATCAATAACAGCGGTAATGTTTGATTTGATTATCAGAATAATATATGTAAACTTGTTAAATTGCCAGAAATATGCGAAATCCCCAGGACATATTTTCCGTTATATTGGATTACTCCATGTTGTAACGACGACCTATAAGACCATTCCCATTGAAACTAATCGTGTGTAATGTTTATGAAAAAATAGTGTTAAGGAATGTTGCCACACGATAACTATCAGAAGAACCAACAGCAGCACGACCTGACAGTTCACTGGAAACATTGTGGACTTCGTTTTGACCACCCGGGCTAGAACCCTCGCCCGGCCATTCAATCAATAAGTAGGTAAAAGATATCTTCATAGCTTTAATATTGTGACACTCAAATTTACTGGAAGTTTACAAATACCTTCCCTTTTTATTCAACCAGGTAACGAAAGAAGAGCTCTTCACTTCGATTTGATTCGTCCAAGACCCAAGGCCAGAACAAAGCTATGCTCAGTGCAATAGTATATTCGAACGTTACCACTTTTTTCAGCCTGCAAACCTTTACAAATCTCGCCTCAGGTACTAACAAATACAAGATTTTTCTACGAAACAAAGTGTAAGCTTCATACTACTATTTACGGATTGCTTAAATATTGAACGGTTGATCGAACCGAGAAAACTGGTGCGGTATGTTGGCTTAATTCGCGGTACATTACTCCCTACACAAACAGCGACCTCCACACAACGGTCATCTTCCCAATCCAATGAAACGCTGTCAAGTTTGGAATATCCAAACCAAAAGTATGCATAAATCAAGCGGATCCCCCACACCAAACTTTCAGCAGGGATGGACAGAACATTTTCCGCTCTTCCAAGTCACTTACTGCCTCCTAAGAGAAGCTGACAGTCTGGCAGTAAATTTATCAAGACTCGACTTTTTCTGTCGGAATTCAACAGACCTTTGGATTCATTTTGATGGCTTCGAAACCCCGTCCTTGTGGTGATGTTTACTAAATAGAGTAAAAGGGACGGAAGCCAACGCCAATTTCTTTCTATTCTTTTTGCGTTAGACTCATAGCTAGGAAGTTAGAGCAACGTTTTAACAGAACATGGACAGACCATCGACGTTATGAAATTCACTTTTGGCGAGGGCTTGCGCTGTCAACATTCCAGCGCTTCTGGGTGCGGTTTGGGTTTAAAAACCCCGTTTTCAGGCTAACGATCTGGCGACGCAAATGCTGGCATTTAACACGTCAGAGTACTAGATGCACTATAAGCAGTAGATCCTGAGGACTGCCACCCCAAAGGGAGCTAGGGTCCCGCACCTGGTGGCGTCAGATTATGTGGTACCGTGACGAAGTCAAAACTGCTAAGAGAAAAGCAACATTAGTTTTCCCGTAAAGAATAATTTGGCGGTCAATAGGCCATCTCAAACCGCACGTGGCATTAATGGCACAGCAGCTTTGTGCTTGTGAGTAACCTGTGGTACACGTAAAAAGACCTGCCGTTTTTGACCACCTTTCAACATAGCAATGGTTGACGAATTTCCGATCCAGTTTACAACCCTAAAAACCTATTGTGGTATGCATGTATTAGCTGAACATATGTGTGAGGCTCGCATTGAACCACCTCGCAACTCTGTAGTTGCACAATACTTCGAAATATTACTGTTTTTCCACACCGATTCTTCTATGGATTTCAATGCTTTTCCTATGTTCTACAGAAAGCCTGTTTCCACTGACGGTCAGAGAGGTAACAGAGGTCTATAGTCGGGTTCAGAGTTAAAATTTAGAGGAATAAACAGCTTCAGGGCTGTAATCTTAAGTCCTCAATGAACCGTCTATTTTGCGCCATGCTCAGATACGTCTTCAATACATGCGGGGATATAACAGTTCATTTGAGATTTGTCTTGTAAATGAGGCGGAGCTATGCGGAAAAGCTGAAAAGCACTATCCAGCTGTCTCACCTTTACTGAGAGTCATCAGCAGTCCACATCTCAGGAAGCTACCGAGCTTTGAGCTTGCGACCTCCCGGTTTCACTTACAGGACGAAATATTAAACGAGAAATTGCAGATTCCCTCACACTACTAACAATTTAACAGTTCAGTGGCACTTGTAGCCGTTTTCATCAGTTTGGTTAGTTATATCCTGACAACAAACTAGCTGTGGAAAATACGAGATACATGTGCTCCTAACAGGTCACACAACATGCAAGATCAAAGCCCTACAAGCTGACAACACTAACGGCCAGTGTGATACGGATTTCAGAAACAATCCTTCACCCACTCCAACCAAGCATTTCACTTAAATCGGGTTACCATTGTCCAATTATCAACGAAACTGTGGCAGCTGTAACCATAGTACGCGGTTATTACAGCTAACAGTGTTGATGATGATGAGTCACTGCCGCCAAGTCAATCATCTAGTAGACCATCTGATCGTCAGCGAACACACTCCGACTTTCAATGGAGCATGCGACGGACGATGCCGTCTGCATCCTACTGAAGATTCATTGTTTTGCATTGAGGAAATTCGATTTCTCTCGAGTGAGGGAAGTTATTTTTTATCGATTTCCGGGGACACAACAAAAGCCATAACGACTGCGATGGCTGCAACAGATCTGCACACGGTTTAAACGGTGCCTCATGCACGCATTTCATGGTCAAATGTACTGGTTGGCCAGTACTCAGATTCTCGTGGTACTACACAAACTCAGCTACTGGGTGGCTGCAGAAAAAGATGGTAACAAACTATCTTGTTGGACTCTCCACATTCTTCTGACAACTATTTGAAAATAGTGGCTGAATATACCCGTGATAACCATGAGAACGAAGAAGGTAGCGAACAAAGCTTGTTTTCTGTGATTGTTCCTCTTGGCTAATACATAATAAATTTATATGGTGGCAGAGATCACGTGGAAAAGTTTAAGATCGGGGCCACATCCACTTTAGAGAAACGGAAATCAAAGGAAGCGGGGGTTGGATGCGGGATAGGTCAACGGGTCACGGAATCAAGTCAGTCAGTCAATGTCAGGCAGACTTTTGGGACCGGATGTTTCGTAGGCCAGTTCAAGTTCAGAGGTCGCACAAGTTCCTTTTGGATGCAAAGTTGCGGGTCCAGCAGTCGGATTCCAATCTCCTCTGCGATCGATAGTAGTCTGGATCGTAACAGTCGTGATCGGTTCAGAGGTACCCGGTATATTATGGTGAAGGCTTGCTCCTTGTCTATGACATGACTGGTTTCGGCCAAATGTGATGCAATCGCCCTGGAGCCTGGTTTGTTCCCACTACCACTCAGAGATACGGGATTGTGTTCTCACATTCTGTCTGACAAATGCCTTGTCGTACGACCAACGTATGATGCTCGGCAAGAACATACAAATGAGTACACACAAAAGCTGGTGGTAGAACGTGGCAATTTGTCCTTCAAGCAGAATTTGGTAGTGGGGTTGGAGTCGAAGCTCAAACATAGATTAGCGGCCAAATATGTCATATCAACCGGGTTTCTAAGCCTTCTGGTGATTATTTCAAGAACAGAGTCACCTATGAGTGGAAACCTCATATATACGGGTTTCTTCCTAACAGAAAATTGTGTAGGTTTGGGCTTAACGGCTTCCATAGTCCTGAGTACGAACCTTTCAGGATATCCGTTCTGCAGGAATTTGCGGCCCGCGAACCTTAATTCCTCCTAGCATTCGGGTGAGCATATCTTCATTGCTCTCTCAGTCGAGCATCTGATTAGGTTGCGTTTTTGTTGCAACGGAACGAAGCTATCAAAGTGAATATACTGACCTTTCCACGTTTGCTTTCTGTGGACCTTGCGTTCTATGGTCCCGTCGGTCTTCTTTTTAACATTGACATCGAAGAAACTTAACTGTCCGTTCTGTTCTGATTCGATGGTAACCTTGAAATAAATTAAAACGTCGCATCATTTTACCATACTATTTCGATTGTGGATTAATTCCACTCGGACCGTTCTAAGGTCTGTTTTAACATGTTACTGGGCAACCTGGAAGTCTCCATCGAACGATGTATAACGGCGACTGCTTCTCACGTGACACCCTAAGTTGATTGCCAAAACGACTGCCCAATAGCGGTCAGCTGAATTAAGAGTACAAATTTTTTCAACTGAATTAGTATCCCAAAACCGTCGTTTGTGGATGGGCGAATGTGCAACCCTCATCATCCACATATCTATCATAGTTACGTTGACGGGTCGCTGGAAGACATATTTTATGTTCGAGTTGTAGAATTTGCATCCAAATCGTTTGAAAAAAATTTCCTTCTGTCCTAGAGCAATCATTCTTGTGAATGCACAATACAGGGACTCGAGTTTCCCTCTCATTAAAACCCATTGGAAGTATATGCTCAGAAGTGCCGGGGCTCGAAGTCCGGTCGTCTGAAATCCGCTATTTGAACGGGCACGCTTGACACAGCCGAATTATCACGTGTGAGCAGGCAAACGTGTTCATTCTTGGGCGATTTGACTGCATGAGGAAGGATCCAGTAATTGTCCTGGTTGTGCCCATCGATTGACTCGCCTGTCACGTCTTCCCAGTCATGTGGCGTCACGAGCGCTTGAAACCTTGCGGACAAAAGTTGGTTAGTTGCAGGTGGTGATGTCGCTTTTGAAACGCGTCCAGGTGCCTCAGAATACGGCGTTGATCTTTTCTGATAAATTATGCAGTTGTGATTGCAAACGAACTGACAAACTGCATGAGGGGGTGGGAGTGAAAATAACGGACGAACAATTTGCCCGCCTGCATAGTGGAAGGCCTCTGGTGGTTTGGACTAGGCAACCTTACAAGCGGATAAACGCGATTCAGAGATGACTTCAAATTGCGCTTGGCTAGCATCTTCAAACGCCAGAGGAAGAAATATACATTTTTCCCCTGCTTCCTGAGCTACGGTAATCTGACTCGAATGGTATTTTACGTTTTTTGAGGAATGCTTGTGTGCAGGCGCGCGACCGAAATTTTCCCACGTTCAGTTTACCTCAAGACTACATGGAGTGATTGGTACTGGCAGTTTTCCGACTATGCACCGACTATCCGTGTGTCCATTGCGTAGCTTGATTTTACAGAATAAGGAGGATATGTAAATAGGACCTAATAATAGTTGGGGCAGAGTCTTTAAGACAGACTGTTAACAAATGACTACCCTGACCTCTTCATCGAATTTCACTACAGTTCAAAACAAGCTCTTCTGAAAGCAAAGGACAAGTTAAAATTTCTTCTTCTGCCATCTAAAAGTGAAAATGTAGCCAATGACATGAACCACAAATTAACTTCAGTCGTAAACCGCGATTATTCGGTTGTATGGGTGCGTGTAGTGCAACCGGCTAAAGTACTTCCAGTTCCCCCGCTTCGCACTTTCCACATGCTTGCACTCTCCTCAGATCAAGCGAATCTTTCACCCTCCAGTGGCACCCGCCCTAGTGGATTATTGTCTAGCAGCTCAATAATATATAGTTATCGTTGTGCATGAAATACACAGAGCGAATGCTCGGAAAATAGTGACGAAAAACCTGGCGATCTCATTGACGGCTGGAGAGCCTTGGAACAAATCACCGTAAACTAGATATGCGCTAATAGATGCCACGACATCGTCGTCATTAAAAAAGTCATCAAAAAGGATTCCTTTTAACCATAAATGAATTGCGAAGTAGGGGAAACAGCGAGTTAGTTAATTATCAACGGGGGAGTATAATCAGAGTCGCCGGTAGTATCCTATGGAATTATGTTTATCAATTCAGGAAATCAATAGAATAACTGCTTTGCGGATCGATTTTCGGCCGTGTGAAATGTATGTGGAAAAGAAACATCTTCGGTTGATTGCCCGATCGGTTGTTCTATTCTTGCAACGCGTCAGTGACCAGGACAGGAGAAGGCGTTGACTCAGCCGACAAGCCTGTTGACTGGGAACCCTGGAAACGGAGACCAGGAAAGTGGGCTTATAGACTGTGAACACAAACTAGTGTTAAAATACAACAAGTAGACTTAGTTTCCCATTACATTTCCTTATCAGCACTGGTGAAACTCTATAAGCAGAATTTCGCGATGAAGCTCAAAAGAATCGCCAGATACTAGAGTTAGATTACTGAACCAGATCACAACCCCCAAAAGCCATCCGAAAGGGGTACCTAACTAACACACTGTATAGGGTGAGGACTTACATATGAAATTCCACTGTTAGCCGTGTTATTGAGTAAACCGCAAAATATTGGAATATACTCGTCAGTCGATACCTTGTGAGCTCTCCATGCGCTGACCCAAACTCACCACTTAGTCTTTTACAGGATTACTTATGCTTTTCATTTAAAAAACGGGACAAATGCTATCCGTTTATGATTACTGTTTACGCAACGTTATTTGAATTGGCAAACTCAATAGTAAAGAGGAAAAATAACTGTCTCCTATGGACTGAAATGAGTGAAGCCTAGTTTTGTTCTAATTTTTGGCTTTTCACTAGTGTATAGATTATTGCATACATTGGTTTATTTCAATAAAATGATGGAGTAGTACTCGCTTTCAAATCCATTCACCAATACAGCCTTCGAAAGAAAAGTTGACGCCACATTCGGTTCGAAATTAGAAGCGTGCGGAACCATTTGAGCGCACGTTACATAGTGTAAACCGGAGGGGAATAAGACAGAAAAATATCTAAAGGAGCTAGTTCTGCAACTTTCACCATACGAAACTGATGGTTTATGATTCTCCGAGTAGGTTGGAATAACTAGACACTTGAGTTTCACAAATAAGCACATTTGCGTATCACTTTGGTTTTTTCACGGGAGACTGAACTGAATCTCTCGTTTGGGATATTCTTCGACTGAATTTGCTGCACAAACGTCGCCTCGTTTTTCAGTTGGTACGATATCCGAGATATCACAGAGTATTCTCCTAAAGGAAACAGGGTTGCTGAGAGAATTCTTCGAAGAGTTCCCTTTATATAAATACTTCTCTCTATAGATTGTTGAGAAGGGTGACTTGCAGGCTCACAACACCGATGAGCGACATTCAGGCATATTTGGTGATTAATCAGGGTGTGTTAGTACAGCCCTTGACCTCTACAACCATCGCTGGCCTTGATGGAACAATGAAGCAACCGTACGGATAACAAAAGTTATCACCTTGGAAAAAACTGGTTAGAAATGGTGTGCCGGCCTGGAATTAGAATGAATGAACCTGCAATCCCGATTATTCTTAACATTTCCTGTGGCACTATTGTTTTTCGTTAATCTGAGAGCTGTACTCTGTATGCACATCGCACTCGGTTCAGCAAATTCTTGCCATCTTGGTGGAATTTTTCTGAGGAATCCGCTTGAAAGAATATTTTAGCATCGCTCTTCCTATAGCTAATCAGCAATGCACATCCTTGGCCGTGTTGGAGTTTCAAGTCCAGTTATCTAACATGCGAGGCAAGTGTGCTGTCGCTGCTCAAGCAGCTCCACACTACGATCGTCTGAACATTCATCTTTCTGGCGTACTTAATGAGTACAACTTATGATGGCAGAAAACGACCGCTAGTCAACGGACACTACGGTTAGGATATATGGAGGACCACCAAAGTCCATAGAATCCAATGTTAAAAATGAGCTCTCTGTCAACGGACGGGCATAAAGCTAAAGATTATACATACTTGAAAGACATCGGAGCTGACTCGGACAGTGAGTCAACAATCACAACCGGCTAGTTCTTTGGGTCACATACGCCTGCGAACAGTGGATGAGTAAAAGCGAAGCGTGTTGGACAGCAAGAACGGGCATGAACAGAGTGAGTTAGACAAAAAGAGGATGATAGTACAGTAGTTTAGCAGTGAACCTATGCGAGTGCCGGCCACATTTTTTAGGCACTAGTTATCCTGAAAGCTGTCGAAGAATTGGCGAATGTCGCACCTGTGCAGAGTATTAGTTCACATTCATTGACTAATGAAAAATACATCCGTCATGGCTATCCGAGATGACCAGACTATAAATACGTCCAAGTTCACTGTTAACAGTTAGAACTGGGTGTACACATCAATCAAGACAGATTGGCATGATGCCCTCGATTTTTTGGGTATTCAGTGTTTTTTTAGGTCCCCATTATGCGCAATTAATTTAAAACATTCGCATGTTGCATCAAGAAGATAAAGACCGCTTAACTTCAAATCCAACAATGGTGTATTGTCTCTTGGGTGAGAACTCATCTTTAATGCAAAGGCGACATGGATACCCAGTTTGTTCATCAGGAAATGATAAGCTGAAAACTCACCATCACAGATGTTGTCTGGTGACAGTCAAACAGCTTAATTTCGGGCTGGCTGTCAACCTGTAGACCTTCAAACATTCGCCCTCTGCATGCAACATATCCCTAGAGGTGAAGGGAATGCGTGGGTTGCTTTGTGTTGAAAAAATTAACGGGAAATTAATAACTTCGTGAGATGCGGCCCTAAATAAACCGAAGGATATTTCAGTCAGTCGGCGAATAAACGAGTACAAGTCAAACAGCAAATACAGCTCTCGATTTCTATCATAATCCAAAAATAGCCAAACAAATCCCGCCACACCAGAGAGCCGGTCTTATTATGCAGGGACGGGTAGCTCAGCCTTCGCGGTCATGATCACACTGCCGTATGAGAACGTTTTTATAGGCAGGTCATTTTGTAGAAGTACTACGAATGACTATAATAGCATTGCAACTAACTACTGGTTGGAAGGCTTAATCCACTCTCAGAAGATTTAGATGTTGAGGATGGCGCTACGCCAGAACATGTTGAGAATAAACTATTTCTGATGTAAACAGCTCGTTCTGGTACGTCTTATTAGGTCTGGAATGCTTACATTCTGGAAATCTCTTCCTGGTATTGACAGTATTCGCTAACAGCTTTACGTTGTTTCAGTGGACACTGTAACGACCGGCGGAACCACACAGAATTGAAAGATTCAAAAACAGTGTTCTGAATGACCACAAAGACGATGACCATGTACCACACCACGATACTCTCAGCCGTTTTACCAAGCATAGGCAATAAGTATCAGCTTCAAACCCAACGTCAGTCATTTTATCCTGCATAACAATATTCAGATTCAGTGGGACCAAGCTCTTCAAATGGCCACCTCCCAGTCAATTCCACTCCATTGGGTTGTGTCTGAATTAGCTAGACGAGTGGCTGGACAGCCTCTTGTGTGCGAAAAGGGTTAAATTGAACGAAATATCATCGTCGCTACCCGACGGCGTTTATGTTGAGCTGAACGCAACTGCGAACGGCCAATGAACCAATGCGAGTAATCACACAACAATTAAGACAGCTTGACGCGTTTAGTTAGAACAAGGTTATTGTACAACCGAACATCCCTTGAGTTTCAGAGGCCACATTTGTCTGACTGTGTCAGGCAGTAAGTGTGCCACCCTCTAGGCCCGTCCAACTTAAGCCTGTTGGCCGTTTCCGTATGTAATGATGACGACGGAGTCATTGGAATGTGGTGGGAGGTAAGAGGTAATGATTGTTCTCTACGCAAAGTGCATTATTTTCGGGCCTGAATGTTTTTTGTTGTTTGTCCTGTCAACCCAATTCATCAGGTCAGGGGGTTCACAGGAGCAGAGGTCAAAAAACGGAGGCGAAAACAACCAAGTTTCTTCTGGTTTCGATCAGTGAGTTGCAAGGTAGGGGAGAGAGGCTGATTGTGAGTGAACGCATATTTTATTATGTGTTCATCTTATATGCGAGGGGTGTAGGAACCATAGGTCCGTTGGTTGACACAGTTTAGTCCTCCACTTTTTGTGCCCAACATCAGCCTCACTACTGTAAAAATATCCTATGTAAATTTTCCCACTGCAAACTCAGTGGTGTGTATAGGATGGGTCTAGGCGACCTCAACGGGGAGGAGTATGATGCACAACTTGTACAGGCAATGAATTGCCTAGTGTGTCTTTTCAATAGTACAGGGAAACACTCAATCCAGGGACTACAAAGTGCCGTGAGTCTAACCGATCCCTACCAGGCTTATCCACCCCTGCAGGTCTTCAGACGATATTTGGTGACCCCAGGTGGGCAAGAGATTAGGAGGCTGGTATCTTTATCTGGAGTTGCCTGCTGCATCAGACTCATGGAGTCCCGAACAATGTGATTAATACGGTACGCAATTACGTGCACAGCAGTGTGTAGACCAGCATGAGAGCGCTTGGGTCAGCTTAAACGGAAGAGGACTGGACGGATGGCAAGTGAAAATACAGTTCTGAAGTCGGTTATGTGCATTATCAAAGGTGGCTCTCTATGTATTCATATGAAAATGAACGCTTTAGGCTTACTTATTAAATATTTAAAAAAATATTTACTCCTGTTAATTCGTTCAACATGTCTATGTGGCCTCAAATCAATAAGCCCTTAGCCAAAGTTGATGACCACGACGTATGAGAGACTACTCAAACAGTATTCAGTGAAGCCTATGTTGCAAAATGTGGGTACATCTGAGACGCTGTTACAGTTCTATGTTCAATTGTTGTAGACTGCCGTAGATGCAGATTTGTCCCAGAAAAGTCTGTACATATGTAAGAATCTACGACTTTTTAGAGTTGAACATACGGCAGACTTGAGTGCTCTACGAAGCCAGTTTCTCCGGGTGTACCTACAAGGTATAAACTACATTACCCATTTAGAAAGTCCGAAAATATCACAAGAATAGGTAATAGAATACTACGATATCTTGTTCAATAAAAGTCCCGGCGATATAAATGCTGTGGTTACTCGTCCAGCATATCGAGGAGATATTCATACACAAAAACAAATATCCTTCCGATTTGTTTCAGGTGGTAAATCCAAAGGATATTTATAACAATGGAGGCCACTTCACCCATCTTCTATCCAGCTGAGGAGACTGACCTCGCACATGAAGAGACACACGGATCAAACGCAAACACCCACTGCACACAACCCCCAGATGCACATACACACTGACTTTCTCAGCTCGCCCAACTTGACACACCCACACCCAACGTCAGACACATCTCCACTACACCTCTACCGTTCACAAGAACCACGTTTCAATTAAGTGTCATTGTGATGCGTTTCAAGAATCTATCATCCCAGTTACAGTCATTTCGAGTGTATAAAACGTGGAGAGGAGTTACCCATAGTAACCAAAACGTCGGGGTTACTGTATCTTATTCCAACTGTTGTCGTGATTTGACAAATCTCTGCGTATAAGCGCCATTGAGTATCGACCAGGGATTGTCAATTATGCAACCTGTAAGCTGGCCAAAGAAAAAATACACTTACTTTAGGCAGCCAGTCAGAACACTGGGTATCATTTCGCAGTGGTAACGTGTTTATACATGTCTGTGCTTGAAGTGTGACGTTGAAAGTCACGAGGCGTCCATTTTTGTACTGAAATCCAAAACATGTTTATAGGTTCATGAATGTTCACAATCCCACGAACCTCAGTTGTAATATCCTCCATTGTTGCTATAGCATATTCGACTTGGATCGATAGTTTTGACTTCTTCCTCTCAGATGAAATCGAGTCATTCCGACTATTTGGTAACCCGCTTTCCGTAAGCAATATTTGTTTAATGACATAGTCTGACTGGTTGAACACCTTTTGACAAGTATACGGAATCAGATAGATCGATGGCGCACGATTCCAGTCCACATAGTAACCAATCACTTTGCATTCAATATAATGCTGTAAATTGGATTAGAGGAAGAACGGTAAAGTAACCACCTTTGATTCACAGATTCTGAAATACATTAAATATCGTCCCTGTTTACAAGCAAGTTTCATCAAAGAATCGCTTTTCCATCACAAGTACTGTATTCTGCATTTATAGGACATTCCTATACCGAATATTTTAGCATGAAACAAGTCTTGCGATTCGAATTAATTTCACACTGCATTGACTTTACTGACGCCAACTTTTGGTCTTATACGAACGATTCAGATAATCCTTTCGATTCTTTCAGTTTGCACCGACTTACATGTATTGCGGCAGACGAGTGCGTATAATGTTCAATTTTTGTGACGCGAACACGCTGTGTTGGTAATAACTTCCAGCAACGGCGCCTGCAGCACTCTTATGCTGTTGAGCAACAACCTGAAGGGAATTATTAATGAACGACCAAATATGGAGGTTTAACGGCTTCAGTTGTGATCTTGACCCGTTGTGAAGAAAACCTCAGCGAGTTTCACTCATACCAGATCGACAATAATGATTGGTTTGTGGCTGAATGAAATTCGCAATTCCTCCGCACGTAATTCGGTGGTCAGATGACTTCAATGATGCCTCCATAAAAAATCACGGCTGTGCGTGTTGTTCCGGCGGGATATAACGGTATAATGATGCCAAGTAGGACACACCGTTCAAAACAAACACGCTAGGATATCATTATTCCTAACGACGTCTTACAACCTGACCTGGCGATCCGTGTCTGTAAATTTTGTGTTCGTCTATCTTACACTGTTTGTCACACTTGGCGATAGACCAGGGGAGTGAAATGAATTCATCCCACAACTGTGTTGTTCTCATTGATGTCTTAGACAAAAAACACTGAATTGAAGGCTCAGATGCTGAGACGGAGACAGTTTATGCAAGAAACAGGCTTCACTTCGAACTAGACGAGATGATTCAACAATTGTTTGTAAAAAAAACTACACGTCACAGGAACACAACTGTGAGAAGATGCTCAAAATTATGGGTGAATGCGGATAGATCGGGAAAAATTCCTATCTCATCTGTTGGTTCCTCCTTGCTCAGACCTATAGCGTGTTGGGTTATTAAGACCAAAGTACAGCTTCGACAGCAAGCAACCATATGGTCGTAATCTCTCGGCTTCTGTATTGTCTCGACCGAATGAAAATAAGCCGGCAGCCACAATTAACTATTCGATACCACTTGAGTGATGGGTCAGCTATCGATGACAATCATGGACCTGTTGCGGTACCAATGGATGCGTATTGGTGTATCTTACGAGATAAGCTATGCTCTATGAACTTTACTGCAGATTATAGGTTGGCTTCCGTAGACATGTTACTGGATGTGGAAAGTTGGTAGGTAATTCACTCTAACGTCTGCCAGAACAGTGGCTTTCTGAAGTGCTGTGTAGTCAAAGGCTGCTTATTTTTACGATAGACTCATTCCTCGGGCATGGATGAATGAATGAGTCTGCATCAGAAGGTCTACCGCCGCCAATTGGATTAATCCAATAAAAGAACTCGGTGTGCCAAGCAGCACTCGTGTCATAACTCAGCTGCAGTTGTGGACCAACCAGTCACCATCTAGATAGCGTTCTATCGCTGACATGTGCTACTACTTCGGCGGCAGGGGATGTGAGATGACCAGAGTGACATGTGCTACTACTTCGGCGGCAGGGGGATGTGAGATGACCAGAGAAAAAAAATGCTTGTTCTAAAGCGTTTTGACAGCATACTAAATAAAGCTGTCATTTACACGCCAAGGTGACGGTGAAGTGGAGCCCAAATCGAGTGTCAAATACTGACGCGCTGGGATGAATGATCCTGAATTAATCATGGGATTGACCGCACTTCAGGTGGGCTTTGTGTGCAACTCAACACAAAACCTAGTAAGGTTCTCCTTCATAAGTCTATCAGCAGCACAGTCTTAAGCCACATCCATTTATGAAAGATCTGCAATCCACTGAATACTATTCAGGTAGTCTTCCCGGTTAGTGCGGTCCTGTTTTGGTTTGTGGAAGTGATCTGATAAAAATCCAATAAACGCACCATTTTTTCAACATTCAAATTGGACCCTGTACTTACAAACAAAAAACGAAAGCAAAAAACTTACCGAGTAACGCCAAAAATCACATTCTGCTGAAGTTAGACTGTCGTTGCATTTGTTTGGTCGGATGTCAAGGGTGACCTCTAAACCCTGTCCAGCAATCAACTAAAAGAATAGAATATTCCGTAGGAAGCAACTGGGTGAACGTACTGGTATTTCAGTGCTTCGAACCTCAGGATCACCGTAGATAACTTTGTTTGTGGGGAGCATATCTTGGCGCAAGCTGCTTATCGCCGACACAAACATATTTGCATGTGCCAAAGTTATATTGAAAGGAATCACCGGATCTCCAGTGGATTTTTTCACTGGTTGGTCGGTAATTTGCTTGCATTGAACAACTTCCAGTTCGTGAACACCAGACTTCCAAGGATGAAAAGCCAGCTTGCAGTGGCATTGGATGAATCCCTAGACAAAGCAGAAGTCCCAGGAAAAACGGAAATATCATCATGCGTTAACAAAATATGTGGCCTCTCATAGTTCAGCAGTTCACTGTCGTACGAAACAGTCTGAATGACACATTATGATTCGTTTGAGATATGGAATTATTCGCACTGACCTCAGTCCCACTCAAACTGTCTGATTCTGGTCCTGGTACAAAGTGGAGCTGAGCAGAACCAGACACATTGCCCAACCGTTCCATCATTCCAGACGTGGTAATCGAGGCACATCCAACTCCTCATATGACGGATGTCCGAGTTTAGTTCCCAGGACAGCCCTAGCTATGTACTATCAATGAGCTTTAATAAGGATAGAAGTCAGGTCCAGGGCCATTGCTCTTTGATTTAGACTAGCAAGAATGCTCGTTAAAGGACTGGGAGGAGGCTTTTCGAACGAGAATAAGGCGAATAATAAGTCTAAAATTTCGTAACATCCTACAACAGATTGAAATTTAAATAGACGACCTCTCCGGCTGATGTGGTTTTGTGTGCACCAGCTACCCAATAGGCACGCTAGTAAGAACAAAATTCACAAACGAACACAACTCGCATAGCTACAGAACGACATTATTGCAACATAAGAGGACTTGATAGCAATTTGAACAAACCACAGTGAATGCAGCTGCACAAATGCATGCTCATGTGCGGATCCTTGAGCACCATTTATTGGTTGAGAATTAAATTGCATAATAGATGTCAGGGAAATGAGTTAAAACAGAACTTTCGGAGCGCATACATAAGTGGCGTGGAGTTAATTCTAAATAAATACTGTCAATAGTGATTGTTCTTTCATGCGTACGCTGTACTAGTGACCAGCCCAGCTGAGCATCTGTTTGAAAGAGTGCTGTTAACTTTGACGAGGCTTGTCTGCAAGGCAATTTGGCTAGGAATGAAGTCCGCCGTCCGTTGATTACGTACAGATAGGATTCCTAATTGAATTTTGCACGATATGGGCGACCTCCAGCTCGCGATGACTAAATGAGAGAACACTCTTCAGGAGTCAGAGTGAAACTATGCTCATCAGGTGACAAGTGACTAGCATTGAATCAGGGTCCAATGAATTTCCCAAGACATAATCAATAACCCACAAGTCATATTAGGATATCGGCCACTCACTTTCAGTGGAATTACTATTATTAGTAGGCAAATAAAATCAGTTACTTGGCAAAGGATATTCAAGGCCATAGGCGTAATAGCTGTGACAAGGTGAAGATTTCAGCCCACTATTTTCAGTCTTTACAAATTAAAAGCAAGTAGATGTGGACCAGAATTGGTCAAAATGCTGCTTTTATAATAACATAAAATATCAACTACTGAGTTTTCGAACAAATTTAGACGCCCAACTCTTATTTATCCGGACTGTTTCCATAGTCGCAACAAAAAATATTCGTTTCATTCGCATTTCCAAGCCTACCTGAAACGACCTGCATTGTTCAGATGATGTAGCTCCTGTTGAAATATTTTTGCACTGCTCCGGAATGTATTCTGGTCGCAAATTTGCATAAAAATCAAACTTTTCACCGGGAAGAGGCTGAAAGATGTTAGGAAATTCATGATAATTGTTCCAAAAAAACTTACGATTCGCCCGTATGCAAAAATCCCTTCAATTTTCAACGGTTCCCTACTTCCGATTTTACCGCTTATCAAACGCGAAAATCGAGGTAACAGTGGATCCACATTGTACTTCCGAAAATCCACGTGGCACAGGGGTTTATTGTGGTTGCTCTGTTCCCGACGTTCCATAGAATAGCATCCACGAATATCGATCGTTCTCCTTTTCCTTTGGAATGTTCTGATCCAATGTGTCACTCGGCATACAATAAAGTGCTGACAAAGGTGCATTCGGTGTGAGATGGTCAAAAGATAAAATACTTCACTATAGTGTGTCTGATAGTATGAATTTATCAACAGGTTGTCTTGAAATGATTTGCCGTCACTGAAAACGAAGTGAACCATCAGAACAACAGAGCTGGGTAAAGCAAGTTTAGCAGGCCTGGTTGGGCTGCCTGAGGTCAGCAGATGGAAACATGTGACGGTGTCAGAAAGGAATTTCAATGACTGTGACCCTGTGGAACAAACTGTAGCTGTTGGTGTAATCGAGCCTCAGTCTATCAGCTATGCGGGCCCTCGGTATACCTGAATTATATACCACTAAGTTCGGCTGCCAAGTTGCTTTCATTTTCGCATGAAAAAATTGAGGTTACTGGAATTTTAACTCAAAACTTTGCCAAGGGTGGAGTTCTGTGGCAAGTCTGGTGCAGATCGAATCTGTTGCTAACTGGCCATATATGTTCCAATAATGCACCTGATGAGTGGTTTGGGCTACTGACTGCCTTCCGTAACCAAATGGTTTAGCAACAGGGGATCGCCAGCTAAGCACGTTGACGGATTGAGAACTACTCCCATCCAGTCTACACTCCACATTTACTCCGGTTATGAGGAATTCTACTGGCTGCATCCCGCCTTTAAGCAAACGGCATGTGGACCACCCATTGTATACTGGGATTCCTTGGCTTGGTTTGATGTTAAAGCCAGAACTGGACACGGATGCCAATCGTGCAATCGCTGAGCCTTTCATTATTTTCAATGACAGGAGGATGAATTAAAGCATTCTAGGCGTATGTGAGAACTCCTGACCTCATGCAAACAACGCTTGAAAACCTAATCCTTTATCAGCTAAACCTGGTTGTCTACCTAACGACGTTTGTCGAGGATCAGTTATCAGCTTCGTTTAGGTAAGACATTTCAGTTATCTAGACTTACGGAGTCTAAAGCAACATTGTCCAGTTATTTTGACAAACTGCCTTTCGCCAGAGGTCGCGCGTCTTTGAGGAACCTGAACACCGCTATACCATTTCCCGCCACGCTTTGGCGAATGGACATTGGGTTTCGGTCAACAGGCCCAGTGTTTCGGCAAAATATCATTTGTTATGACTGACACAAACCGGCACGCCTTCAAAATCAATCTCTGTATGTCTTTGCAGCACATGCCGTTGGGTGTATCGCTGGTGGTATTCGGTCTTCGGATTTCTACTCTCACTCGTTTGGAAACTAACAGATAAAAGTTCGTCTTTAGGAATGGCTTATGTGTTATCTACCGTACCAGTACAACAATAGTTCACGTGCCTGTATATTACTGAATGCAATGTATCAGTATCAGCTTTGAACAGAGAAGCAGTCGCGTTGACGCCGTAAATGGGCTTCACCGTAACATAACTGTCTGCACTCGGTAGCCCAGTGACAGACTAAACCCGGTTGTTCGGTCGCTTACTCTATCCTCGGTTAACTTAGTTCCAGACGCGGCTTCGAATGCTTAAGTTTCCATTCGAGAAGCTTACAGGCCGTCAGTTGTGATGCTGCTACCCCGCCAACTGTCTAACCAACACAGTAGCCAATCCTGACGTAACTAGCCCATGTTTTTCAAGCCTCCGTGCCCACTATTCCGGCAATGTGAGCTGTCCGGTGGGCCCTATCAATAAAGGCTTGTTGCATTCAGCTCTACAGGCATGCAATGCGGCCCCTGAGGCTGGGCATACCCGCTTCCCTTACTGAGAAACGGAGCCACTGTAGCGTGGTTGAGGCTGCCGTAGGTAGCGCTCATAGCTACGATGGAGAAACTCCCTTGCTCGCCGGAAGTGTAAATTATGTAGACCGGATGTACCGGCTGTTTCCCGATATACCATAGGGCCCTGGAAAGCTCCCACTGACACGACACACTGTAGCAAATTTTACATTTTTGTGGAAAACGGCGGACATGGCGTGAGTGCCAAAATTGTTTTCATCGGACGAATTTAAGTTATTCATCCTAATAGGAGCAGTTTTCCGTCCCGGTCACGGGTCAGTTCAATCTAATGGAAGTTTTTCTAACCGAATTTAGTCGTTCGTTTCAATAGTGCTCACTTGTATGCAAATCAGGTAAGACAATTCCTCCATTTATGTGAAAACAGCGTTTTGTTTGTCCCATTCGCATGGCAGAGGCAGATTCAAAATTAGGAGGACATGCATAGCCGAAAATAAATTGTGCTTGTCAACAATCATTCACGAAACACTTTGGGAAAGCTCAAAATGATGTCCTACCAAATATCGGGCTTTTTCAACTAATGACATGATAACAACAGTGTTAATATTAATAGGGATGGCGATGATGTTGAGAATGATTGCAGGGATAAAACAGTCTCCTACCTTGTGTTTGTATGTTAAGTATGGCGGTATAGAAGGCCCCCAGTTCCACCAAAGGTACAGGTTGAAGGATACCCGATCGCCGAAGAGTTTCTCAAAAGTAAAAGCATTGGGGATGAAAACATGAGCATCTTACCTCACGATCCAACAGCTGAATTTGGTGGATGTGGAAGGTGACATTTTCGGAGGAGTAGTTTGTGAGAATCCCGGTGACTTCCTCTGCCACTGACCATAAGTCATCATCTTCGTTCTTAGTCATTGCTTGAAGATCGTTTTGAATACTTAACAGCCTTGTTTCATTACACCCAAAAATGTTTAGTTCGTATGTTTGCTCGAGTGCCAACATCCTCACACTTACGTGACATGTCACAAGATTCTGTCAAGAAATAAGGAAGAAACATAATCCTGCAATGAAAATGGTGACTAGTTTCAGAATGCTACCGTCTCAGGTTAGCACAATTCTCATGTGTTAGTGAGAGCGCTTTTCCACTTTTATTACTCTTAGGACGGTTTTGGTAATCCTCTCCATAAAAGGTATTCTGAATAATGATTGCATTCATGAAGAGACCACATTAAATTTTGCTGTAATCTAAGCGTTATTGTGAACTCACTCCGAAGGAAATCCGCTCCTCAGAGAGATTACAATGTCCTTATTCTGTGGTCTTCTCTACACGGAAGGAACGCTATGTTATTAGGAGTACAACTTCTAGAATAATTTTGTGTGCTAAGAACCGTGAATTCGATTATATGTTTAGTAATATCGATTGATTCATGCATGAAAGGTGCTGTGGTTCACTGTGTGCACAGAGGATTCGCTTGCCGTTGTGGCGTTGTCCAAATACCCAAACAACTAGACGGCCTCATTCTAATGTTTTTTCAGCTATCAGACAGGACAGAAAGCTGACAACGGCACGTGTGAGGCTAAGCATACTCGTCCTCGCACAGTTTTCATGGCTCATTAAGGGCCGGTATCTGATAAGGGGTTCAGTCAACGTCCCAAGGAATCATGAGATCTACGAAGCTGATTACTATAAAGACGCACATATTCACAGTATTCCTTATCTTTAACCAGCAAACCATAACCTAGCATAACCGACCAAATTTCGGCGGGAATTTTCCGCAAAAATTTTGAGATCAGTCTGATTCCCAGTCTTCTAAACATCAGGTAGAATCCACAAAGCCATGTTGGTCGTAAGAGCCTGAAAATGGTCAGCCAGCATGAATAGAGCTGTGAGCAATTGAGTCGGTAATGTCGGTTCGTTGGTAGATTCTGGATGAACAAAATGTCATATTCCCGTAGGATCTGGAGAAAGTGAACAAACAACGACCGCAGCTACTATGAAACTGTTGGAAAATTTGTGGGACTTACAGTTCAAAACGGCGTTGAAAGCTGAAATGCTGAAATACTCTAGCCGTTTGCCTGCCTAATAAAGATAGGATTTATTCAGTGTGTGAAATTTTCTTCCCCATTTACGGGAGCTATTCTCATCTGATCCGGTAATTTTTGAATATTGGTAATCTGCATAAACCAACGCCATCCGATGTCATCCGCTCGTCAGTAGATTGATCAGACTTGGTTTTTATCCACTTTTCAAGTCCACGGTAGTCACTATCTGGCCCCTATTGACACTTTCGGGTCGGTGTGCTTTTCACCTTGTGGAGGTCTAGTGGCTGTGTACTACGTACCAGAACACTGACACCAATGCAATTTTAGAAGTTCCTTCGGCAATAACATTACGCCTATTGCACAGATCTACAAGGATATTGCCTACAGCTTAACCCTTATATTCTGGATAATTCTGGGCTTGGTGGCATAGCTTTTATCTTTGGGCGGTGAAGTAACGCCAAAATCGTGGGAGTCCGTACACACGATAGAACAGAGTTGGTCGTTCGGCTTGCATTTTCATGTCTGCGAACAGGCAGTCACACACCATAGCTATGTTCACCTCATTCCACGGCCCACTTTACTCAGGAGCCCCGTTCACAAAATGCTGCTCACTCCCAGTCGTTACGTAGGCAGATTTTACTGCTTCTTAAATCAAAATGATATTCACATCAGTGCTACTTATTTCGTCCCATCCAGCGAGGTTTTTGGTCAGATGTCATGACACTTTAGACCTTTGGACATCTTAATAGAATATCCTGGTCGGTATGTCAAACAGCTGATGGTTTTCTGAAACCCAGATTTGGTGAGAATGCCAAGATGTACCTAAAAAGTTTAGGACCGTACTTATCACGAGACCTCGAACAGCTTGCATAGCGGTGACAGTGAAGACCATCAGACTGAGAGACACAAAAGTCGGCAAACTTAGGAAAAACCAGACCCACCTGGTTTTTCTTGTCAGTGTCATCACTTTTCGCAAATATATTCGCGTTCTTCTTCTCCCAATTTGTTGACTGAAGCGTCACCTTGAACGTCACAAACAAAGACAAATCCATCTAAAATTGGGATGTTTAGATGAACTTATCTCCGCGCCTTTCGTGCACACTTACCTTTGCAGTGCGGTTCGAGACATCCTCAACGATAATTAGGCCATAATACCTCGGGTCAGTGTTCATCCTGTTGAACTCAACTTCCACTTGTTTCAAAATGACGGGAAATGTAGTCTCGGCTACCATGATATCAAGGTACGTTGGTGGTAGGTTAAGATGTGGTGGCTTTGGAGCGACGAAATGACAGTTTGTTACGTCAACATAGTGGAAGGCGTGCAGCGAAGAAAGTGATTTAGCATGAACGTCACAAATAACGGCAGTCTGGAAAGCAAATATGATAAGGGGTCTCAATAAATGCACTGACACCATATATTATATCACTTACGAGAATTGGTATTGAGACTACTGAAACGATACTGATCAAATACCAACGGTACTGGCGAATATAGATATATTTGAGCTTCGCCTTTCAAGGAACAATATAAAAGGGTTAGATAAGATCGTCCAATCATGGGTTTTGCTTATAATTACAAGAAACATCCGAATATAGGTGCGCGGGACCCAGAAATTTTAGATGTTAGCAAATCATAAAACTTAAGACTGAAGTATAATGTGGCAACATAAGGCTATACGAACTCGGTTAAATTCACACAACAGAGTACGAGTACGAAGTATCCTGTATATGTGATCAACGACAATTATTCAAGCTTACACAGGCTTGAGAATGAACTAAACTCAGTTGTGTCTCAGCGAAGTACGTTGTGAATCCGCCCACATGATGCCCTAGCCTCCACAGCACTTTTCAAATAATCCAGTAATGTGGTTCATTTAAAAGCCACAGTTCACTGTTTTTATCTTGCATTTGAAATCTTCCAAAGTATGTCCTGGCTGGCTGTCTTCTGCGGGTAACAATGGCTACTCAAACGGTTCCAAACCGGTCGGAAGACCGATGATCGATTGAATGGCTTATTTACACTGGCGAGTGCAATCCAAAATCCGGAATCCTAGATTACCTACGGAATAAGTAGGCTGCAGGCGTGATATTCCGCTTGATGGGAATATTTTTTCCTCATTGCTGAGACTGAATGTTTCTGGCAAACGGTGCTGAATTGAGTGAGATTTTCAGAAACTTTTCATCAACTTAGTGCTACCGTGCATAAGTAGCTTTTGTTTTGAATAAAATTGGAATTAACAAATTCAAAGTTGGATGTACGATGGATTTGTTCTAGACGTTCATTCACAAACAGCCTTGATATTATCTCACTAAGATCTGAGGCGTGAAACAATTACGCAAAAACTCAAATTGCTCGTTGTGGAGCAAACATCGCATAACTGTATCGCCTCATCATCATCATCATCATCATCATCATCATCATCATCCTCATCATCATCATTATCATCATCATCATCATCATCATCATCATCACCGTCATCATCATCGACAACAACAACAAGAACGACAACATCAGAGGCAGCAAACTAATTTTTGACGCTGGTACTCCACTACCTTACAACCACATATTTTGTTGAAAGAGAGAGAATAAGGATAATCGAGCCTATGAGAGACGGATCAAGAACTAGCCCAATGCAGGCATTCTGAGGAATCTCTCCTTCATCAGATGCTCGGTCAGATATCCTGAACGAATGCAAAAAGCTGCTGACATCGATGTCAAGCCATTTCTTGAAGCTTTCAAAACCAACCACGTGTGATTGAGCAATCCCATTGGGCGATCCTTAGAGTACCCCTCATCCTAAATAATAATGTTTGTATCAATGTGTTTCAAGTAAATGTATTCAACACACTGCTAACAGTGCGCCGTCACTAACGACTGAGGGCGCTTGTCCTAGGTGATCTCATAATTTAAATCCCACGATTCCTTCCCAACCAGTAATCTTAGTTAGTCACGAAACTTTCAGAATGCTCTCGCAAAATGAAATGTTTCACACTTGTAAACTTTCAATCGAGCTTATGCGGGAATCTTAAGCTTCTCAAAACTGTCCTGTCCGATGCTTCGCTTCTATAGTGTCTCCTAGTTTTTTTTATCTTCTGGTTAGTTTCGTTGGACCAACTTCACTATTTTAACCAGGATATATTCAATTTTTAATATACTTCGTATACATGTTTTTATTGGTGAATTTCGCTTCACGAGATAAGTAACGTCATTCTTGACTTGACCTCTCTTGACTACTCGACTCCACCAGCGTATCCTTGACTCGACCCGAACGGTCAGTCAAATTGCGTTACTAGTAAAACGGACTAGTACATAAGGAGTCGTTATCAAAACATTACAGGATGGTGGTCTGTGATGTATGAAATATGGAATGCCGTCCCATAACCAGCAACTTAGCGCTCTGTATCACGTGAGTGAATTGTGTGACCAGAGGATGAAAACCAATATGTTTTGTCTGAATGCAAGCCACCGACAAATGAATGGTGGGGTGTAAAAAAAGCCCCTAAGTCTAACCGTTCTTTCGAATTTCTCCACTCCACTTCAACACATGACGTTCGGATTTCGGTTACGCGCTGACCAAAGCAAATGGTCAGGAGATTCGTTCAATTTGGCTAATAAAATAATTCAGGAATCAACGTATTTTGTGCCGCGACGGTATGAAATGCCAATAAGTGTAAAAATTAGTGTATTACACCAAATGCAGTGTTCATCATTCTTCATCAGTAGAGTGCGGCCTTGTGGCACAATTTAAGTAGATCATGCAGTAGTTTAGCTTGTAGGTCGTCTCACGTATTCCAGACTGCCGTGGTCAGAACACTTGTGGTACCGAAGTTCCTGGTCCACTTAGATGCATGCCTCACCATTATGTCCTGTACTTTTCTGCGGGTCACTCGAGTAGTCGGATATTCCGGTGGAAACGTCAGCTTGTCCCACTTACACGATTCGGACTGAAGTATTACCATGCTGATAAATCACTTCTCAAACTCGCATTTTCCGTGACAATGGTAAAGGCTACAAATTAGTGTCCTGTCATAGGATCAGTCCTTTGTTGCCCATGTACTTAAATCCTTAACTACCACACTGCCTGACCCATTTTTTCAATAAATGATATTCTTTCCACTGTGTTGTGTATATGGTGTAATCATACGAGGGCCCTTCCTCATCTTGGTATATTTCAGCCATGGGAAATCTGGATACTTGTCGGACGTGAAAATTAGCGCTCCGCCCACTTTTAAATGTTCAGCTACCAACTAGACAGCATCAAATTCGAATAAACTAAGCGACCTGTCAGAGTCGCACTGCTGGTTTTTGACAGAACATTCATACTGCATGACATCAAGCACTGATAGGTGACCATTGCTAGTGACTCATACGAAGAAAAGTAACAAACTGATGACTACCCTGACTGCCTCCTAGATTTCCACATAAGTTTTCCATACTCTTGATTTTGTACGTGCTCATAAGCACATATTACAAACGAAGGCGGTCCTTGAGCAAGGCACAAAATTCACAGCCTCTGGCCTAATCTCAATTCCTCCATACAAGTATTATTTAGGGATGGGATATTGATCTGTCCAATTGCGCCTTTTTCACCTCTGATGCGTATTCTGGGCTTCTCGAACTTAGCCATCCATGCCTATGTTTTTCTTGTTTAGCCGTTACCACGATTCATACTACGTGCAATTTTCGACTTTGTTGTGTTCTTGCATGTCTGGGGAGGCAAGGTAAGATGGCAACAAAGCTTTGGCCCAATATAAAAGCATTTAACTCTTGATATGGTGGATATCAGAGGCTTTTAGTACACAATCTGCAAGGACATCGACACTGAGAGCGCAAAATTGTTAGGGGTACCTTACAATTAGTAAACACTCTCCTCCGTGCACTACATAAGGCAATGAACAAATAAGTGTTCCGAGAACTGGCCCCTTTCAAGAATGCTGATTCTTCGAGAGAGGTGAATATGTGCGGCACCATTATTAGTGATTGTGTATAGAATCTGGTCTGGAGATAGTGTACACCCGGTGTCCTGTGCTCACGCAGGATACATGGATGTGTTAACCGATCGATGTATGACGAAATCCTCCATCTCCATGCTGCTGATTAAGTCGCGCGTCTGTTATATGCCCTGACACATCTTGGCGACAGTCATTCTTTGAAATTTCCGTGAAATAAGGGATTTCGCCATACCCTCTGTGAGGAGACTGTTAGGAAATTCAGGTTTCTGAAGGTTATCCCAAAATACCAGAAATCTACTGAGACCCTCATCTCCATTAACAACCGATGCGACAGCCTTGGATCGGGGTAGGACAGTGTCCCTCAATAATATAGCACGTGGCCGTTGTACTTTCGAACTCACTAGCTTTTTCGCAATAAATTTATTGTGTTCCTTTTCGTCGAGTCTTTCTTCTGGCGCTAGGCACTGTTGTGGGGACGGCAGTCAGACATAACAGAGACGATACCTTGGAAGTGGCCAGATGGATTGGAAACGTACATCTGCTTCGATCGTGGAAAATTCCTCTCAAAACATACGTCAACCTTAACATATATGCTGAATATAGTGAAGCAAACTGTAAACCGCATGGACTGCTGAAGCTGAGAGCACAGTGTCGACTGATAAGCGCCATTCTAAAAAAATCAGATCAATGAAGAACCCACTTTAGCATAACTGTTTATAGTGATGCTGAGCTACTTGAACGGCCAACTTGGTGCTAAATACCCAGTCTGCAAACTATCGGAAAGTAGCCAAAGCCCAAAGCTGCGTAACAGCTTGATGCAACATGCACGTTGCAAGCAAAGCCTATAGACCAACAGTACACAATGGGTCAAGTCATCTTTTCAATTTGGATGTGTATCACCCGATGGACGGCAACATAGACGAGCATAGCCTGACTGCAAGAGAATCTGTGGATTTGGCCGGCTGATACAAAGTATTTATCACACTACTCTACTTGAGTAGCACTTGCGGATGCTTCGGGACGGAAGGGTTAAAAACCTTTTGAAATTGGTAAGTCTCACAAGCTTCAGTTGCGTCGGTTCGTGTTGCGGACATTAAATGAGCTCACAAACTGTTACACTAAAAACGGCAACCTACATCCGGCGGATGAATATTTTAACTTGATCCCTGTCCTCGGTTTGCATCATTTCGGTTTTCTGATAGAACACGCGCACTTGAATGCATAATGTATGTACAGCTGAAATCTGTTGACGTTAGGTAACAAGCTGGAGAAACGGGATTTTTATGCCCATGGTATGTTATTCCGAGGCCACGTCGTATCAAATGACCTAAACTAGCAGGTTTCACAGAGGTTATGCTACTTTAATGCAGCTCTATCATTGGGCATCTTATTTTGAAAACTACTGAGGTTGTAGTATGACCTAATCCCAGTAAATAAATTTTCATTGGTCTCGTTTTGAATTTGAACAACGGGGAAAGTTGTCGGGTTAAACTTATAAAATAATATAATATATATATGTATAATATTTATATTATATATGATATATATTATATATATAATATGATAATATAATATATTATATAC